GTTGTTTTGGGATGTTTGGGGATTTACTCAGGATGTTCTACTCCATATTGGCAAAAGCTTCATAGAAAGGAGGAATTCAGATTATTCCATGATTTTTAACTGCCAGCCTCTGGCAACAAAGAATTGCTAATTTTTCAGAATAAACAAAAATAATCCTCCATTACAAAAAAAAATGCAGTAAACTCATTTTCTCTCAATATTCCAGCCAACAGAAGGTAGTTCAAATAATTGATGATCCCCCACCTCCATATTTTAAATGGAGAGACAGAAATAAATAGAAGAAATTGGTGAATGGGATTGTTTTAATTACTTGCTCTTCTTTTTAATAACCCATGATAAGATTTTGTGAGCAAACCAAGTTGTATGTAATACGTTAGCAGGGCAAGTATTTAAATGTTTGTCCTTGAATTAGTAAGCATTTATTCCAATCCCTATACTCTGTTCAAGGAGCCCTGTTGGTGCAGTGTCACTACTGAATATAATTTCCCAATTTGATATAATTATGTAAAGAAAATAATTACCCAGAATGAAAGATTATACAGGAAATCTTTTTTTAATTTGAAAAATAGAAATATTTTTCATTTGAAATGTTTGTTTTTATTTTCTCTTTTCTCCTTTCTTCTTTTGAGAAGTTACTGTCCTTTATTCTGAGATTGCCTTTTCTATTTTTGGTATTTAAACATCTGTTCACGAAATGATGATAGGTGTTGGTGCTGCTTTTTTTTAACCAAAGAGAGCCCTGGTGTCACAGTGGTTAAAGCACTCGGCTGCTAACCGAAAGGTCGACAGTTCAAACCCACCAGCCACTCCATGGGAAAAAGATGTGGCAGTCTGCTTCCGTAAAGATTACAGCCTTGGAAATCCTGTGGGACAGTCCTGCTCTGTTGTATAGGGTCACTATGAGTCAGAATAGACTCAACGGCAACAAGTTTGGTTGGTATACTCTGTTCACCTGTATTACTATTAGTATTGCTAATGTTGAGTCACTGTAAAACCTTGAAGGACCTTTGGAATTATTAAAGAAAGATAACATCTTATTAATACAGTATGTGGTGTAGTTGATGAAATTTTACTTTGTAAAATTCACAGTTTACACTCTTATCTGGTAACTCTAAATAAATCTGAACATTCATCTAACCATTATCCCCAATTGTCTTTCATTTTGGATAAACGGGAGTTTCTTAGAGCTACTGCAGTTATCAGCAGAACCAGCTTCCTCGTTGCCTTTTGACTGTGATGGTAAAGATATCAGACTCATATTTGTGAGAAAAAAGGCAGGGAGGTCTGTCCCAAATATTTCTTAAGTACGTTTTCTACCCTTAAAATTCTGTTGCAGCCTTGAAGCTTTCCCTCTCTGTGTAGGAGGCAGCTGAAGTCAGTGTATAATTACTTTCTGTGAGGAGATTAGTGACCCTGACCTTTCTTTATTTTTCTCTCCAGTCCCCATTTCTGTCACCTGCCTATCAGCACGCAGATCCCTAATAGGTGCTGTTAGACTAATATCTAAAGGTGAATTGAAAAGAAGTTTCATTAAAAGATAAAGGACATGAACTGTTGGGAAACTTGAGAGATTTGCATCTTTAATTTCTCGCTAAATCACTTCCAGGTTTTTGTTTTGTTGTGTTGTTTACCTGCGCACTCAGCTGGGCCCCAGGAGCCGGGTGGCACTTCTCAGCATTTCAGAGACTGAGAATTGGCTCAGCTTCTGTTTTGTAGTTGTTAAAGCATTTAATGACCTTAACTTTCTTACATTCCTATTCTTTATTTTCCATGTTGGCACCAATCTCCCGATAATTCCTGCTCTTATATCCTAGGTATATGGAAAAGATGGCAAAATGGGTCCTTTTCAGATTTTTATCCTCTCCTGGAGAGTGATAAACGAAGCTTTGCTTATTCCAACAAATAGTAGAATATGAAATCCCGTAAAGCTGCCTAGGTTATTAGATGAATATCACAGAGCTGCTTATTAGGCACCGTGGCTTCATGTAGATTATAGATGTGACCACACGGTAATTAGCAGAGCTGGAGCTGTAATTAAACACTATTGTGCTGCTGTGTGATTTCTCCTTAGATTTCTGTTGCAAAGTAGAAGCAAACTGAATAGTTCCAAACCTGTAGGTGGATTGCTTCACTTCTCCCCATCCCCCCAAAATCTCTTTTAATTAACTAACTAAATAAAGTCATCTTCACACAAACTGAGATCCTGAACTCTGCTTAGTAACTCTGATCAGTGAGGGTAGTTTGGTGCATTCACTTATTAATCAGCTCCTCGTGTGTATTAGTTCCGTTGTTCTTAGTGATCAGTTTAGCTAAGTAAATTTCTTCTCTTCAGATGTTCTGTAGCGGAGTTTAATTTCACAAACTGAATGCAACAGTGGTGTTTCCAGCTTTCATCTTAGATGTTTTCTAGATTTGTCAGTGCAGAATTGGGAACTGGGCATTATTTAGAATCTTCCTCTGGCCTCCCACAGCACTGAATATCCTAGTAGAAAATGAAACCACTTCCAGAAAAGAGCTGCTGTCCTCGATGGCTGAGTGTGTGGGTGGGTGGGGGTGTAGTTGTCTGCCTGGGGAATTACTGCCTCCTGTGCCTGGGATTGCTGCCTCCGAGATGGAACAGGTTGGCAGCAGGACATGCTCAAGTAAAGCAGCCAGAAAGCTCACAGGGGTGACCTAGAAGATTTAGGCCAAAATCTTTGTCCAAGAAGGAGGCTCCTGCAGGAATTTCTCTTGGTAGTAGAAGTAAAGAATAGAAAAGGGAACAAACCCTAAGCAAAGGAAATGTATGTACTCACAGTGAAATTAGTTCTGTCTCAGTTCTTCCCCAAGAGAAAGAACAGAGAAACTGAGGTGAGGCCAAGAGTAACCATGTTCTGTGTACTCTGTCTCTAACTTCCCTTTTCTAGTGACTCTTAATGGTAAAATTTCCAGGAAACTTTCTTTCCAAAGAGTTACGCGCCATCTTCTTATAGCACTCCTGAAAGGCCTGATGATTAGAGGCAGTGTCAGCACCACACAGAGTAGTAGGGAGGCTCCAGTTTACTTTTTCTGTGTTGCTGGCCACCTCTTTCCAACTTCTCCTGTTTTTACCTTCACGTCTGTGCGTGGAATTTAAAGGGTCTTGTAAGGATCTTCCACATGCCAAAAAGGTTCCCAAATTAAATTATAAATGCTCGATTTTCAAAGAGCAAGAGCGAGCAAAAATGCCTTGACATTTTTCATAATGCAAATGATCGATTATAAAGGCTTTCACTTCCATTTCACTTTATAAAAAAGGCAGAGTTAGGGAAGTACAGGGTGGGAGAGGGGTTGTATGACAACAAGCAGATGATAATGTTTTGACAGCTCTTTAGGGACCACCATTAGTCTGAATCAGAGTTTGAGCATTCTGTGGACTCGGACAGTGATGATCTACAAATAGCATAACTTTCTAAGTCAAGAAGCCACAGCTAACTACAGAGAACAAATGCAGTGCCCAGACCTCAGCTTCTAGAGTAGTCAGTTGTCAAGACCAGGAAGGTAGAGGTATATGTGTGTTTGGGGAAGAGGTAGATTGTAGAGTGTTGGACATGCAGTAGACTGTCCCAGAAACAGAGTTCTGGTGCAGAACTGTCCAGCAGCTCATATTATGGGTGCATGTGTGGGTCTGTTTAAGGATGACATTTTACCTGGACTGAAAGGTGTTTCACAAGGGCAAGAGAGTTCTGATCCTTGACTCTCATTTTCTAGGTCTGCGGATTGATATAATACCTAGTTTTGAGGGAAAACAGTCAACATGTCTGTTGAGTGTCTTTATATACGCAAGACACTATACTCAGGATTCGGGCACCACAGACTCAGAGTTGGTACTTTGTCAATCTGATAAACGCTAGGATTAAAAGAGTTAAAGAGATCTCTCTTCATTACACCTTTCCTGCTGCCCCTAGATATGTTGCATTCTTCTTGGAACCTAAGTAATTATGTTCTCGTGAGAGGTTCCCGTTTTAGAGGTAGGTGCTAGTCCTTGTGTTTGCCTATTTCAGTGTCTGTGTGTTCTCAACTACATCTGCAGGCTACTGTGATTTGTTTCTGGATAGTAAAAGCATCTCTTGTTTCTTCCAGAAATTTTATATTAGATTTATACTCCAAAAGGCCATTTTCATTAACCAGCCACTCTTATAATCTCTGGGGATTGAAAAGCTCTGTCAGATTGCTCCCAGCCCTTCTATAACTTTTAAGTAGATTTCCTTCTGAATAAAGATGTATTAGAGCTCCCAGTCTTCTTGAAGTGGCATTCCTAGGATCTGGACATTTCTTCCCTTTGTTATCCCATCCCCTATTAATGGATTTTATGCCTGATAAACGTATTGTTCAGAAGTCCCTGGGTGGCGCAGGCCGTTAAGTACTTGATTACTAGCCGAAAAGTTGGCAGTCCGAACCCACCCAGAGGTGCCGCAGAAGACAAGCCTGGCAACCTGCTTCTGAAAGATCATAGCCTTGAAAAGCCTATGGACTAGTTCTACTCTCCACACACGGGGTCACCATAAGTCGGAATCAACTTGACGGCATCTAACACCACCGACAAACGCGCTGTTTGTCGAGTGCGAGGTTGGCGGGAAGAGTAGTGGCGGCAGTAGGGCATGCCCCAGAAACTGGGCCTTTTTCATCGGTCAGTGTGCTCTATATAACTATTGAAATCTGGTCCTGATTCCCTTTCACTAGAAATTTTTAAATGAGAGGAGAAAAATTAGAGCTCTTATTTATATACTTTAAGCCAAGCACAGTTTATGAGGAAAGTCATTAATAAAAAATAGAGCTTCTCCTAGCGCAGGGTACAGTCATCTGTATCACTAGATTTGTAATGTATCCTGAGCTAGAACTTGAAAGGAAGACTGAAGTCTTATATTTAGAGCCCTCTGCACTCTGGCAGGAAAGAATGTAGGACTAGATTAAATACAAACAAGGCATTTCCTTTAAATGTTTCTGCTGCAACTCAGCTACTACTTTCTCTTCTCCCACAGATGGAGTCCCCTGTCTCCACACCAGCGGTGCTGCCGCTGCACCTTTTGGTGCCAGTGGTCAGTAACGACATCTCATCCCCCTGTGAGCAAATCATGGTTCGTACCCGGTCAGTTGGGGTCAACACATGTGATGTGGCTCTAGCTACAGAACCCGAATGCCTGGGCCCCTGTGAACCTGGGACCAGTGTCAACCTCGAGGGCATCGTGTGGCAGGAAACAGAAGATGGTAAGTGCTATATGTGGCATTCCCATCCGTTCTCAACCTGTTTCTGCAGGGGAACCAACAGGGGCTTATTGTTTTAAATAATACCAAGTATTTATTAGGAATTTTAGATGCTCCTGATGATACCCACACAGATTACAGCAAAGTCTCCAGCTTCTAGAGCTTGCCATTGCCAGTTTCTTAGTTTAATTATCTCCCCTTCACTGCTGTTCAACAGTGTCGGCCCTGGGACGTAAGCAGTTATTTAATAAGTGCTGGCCAGGTAATTAAAACTGTGTCTGTACTCTCCGTACCCCTCTTTATCATTTTGTATGGGAGAATTAGAATATAAATGAACTTTTGGGTTAGGCTTGGAGAGAAAAAGTAATGAAAGGAGGGCTGAGGGAGTAAAGGGAATAGAGAAGAGTCACTCTTAAATTGACTTAGTGTTGGCTCATTCAGCATGCTCCTCTTGCCCTTTTTTTTATCACCTGGAGGTCAGCCATCTCCTTCTTCCCACTGGCTGCCTCACTGCCCAGCCACCTACCCCACGGTATGCATCTGTCACTTAGTGCAGATTTTACAGGCCTGGGCAACAGGGAAATGTTTACATGGCCTTGTTTCCAGGCGTCTACTAAGCAGTTGGCTCACTATAGGGTGCTGCTGCCCAAGGCTGCCATCCAGACTTTTTGGATGTTTCATTTGCCCATGAGAACAAAATTTCTTCTGTTTTGGAAGTCCATAAACCTGGAAAAATGCAATAGGAGTGCAGAGGGACTTAGCTAGGGATTTCAGATCCCTTGGTAACATCTGGTTGCAATTTGATTTCAGCCAATTCTTTTTATAAAAAATCCAAGTCCTTGTCAAAGTACGTGTGGTTCGGGAGGCTGGGCCTCAGAGTCCCATCAGGTCTCTGCATCAGTAACCAGGCTTGAAAGCATACCCACTCTGAGGAGTTTCGAGGCCCAGAGGAGCACAGCTAATTATCTCTGATTATCGTAAGTTATCTTGTCAGCCTGCCTGTGGAAATTCAGGCATTTCGCTCTGGTCATCCTAATGAGGTTCTCTTCCCCTGAGTCTTTTGTTGGGATTCAGCCTGTGTTTAAAGTCTACCACGCAGTAGGCACTGGCGTGTTACAGGGTAGGAGCTCTGTGTTCTCAGATCCCTCTTCATTAGCAGTACAGTAAAGCTTAAGCTTGCAGAAGAACACTGCTGGTGGGGTTTTGTTGTGTGCCTGAGACAATGCAAAAAACCTGTTGTGGTAAAAACTGGGCAGGGATTGTGGAGAGGGAGAGAGGTTGAGCCTGGATATGTGTACACCACCTACAATCTAGAAATCACAAAGTGGCTGTCTCTGATTTAAAAAAAAAAAAAGGCATTAGCCTATGGCCAAACGTCGAACAGCCACAGAGTCTGTTGGAATGACAAACCACAGCTCTGTGCCACCAAGCAAGCTTCAGGGCGTCCTGCCTCAATGTATTGAAGATAGCCATCAATTTCTTGCCTATTTGTTCTACCCATCTTTATGATAGTGACTTTTTTCCCAAGGGCAAGATGCTTTTCGTGCATGTGAACCTGATAAACTTTTCACTCTCCTGAGGACAGTGAGTACCTTTGTATTTGAGGATCCCTGTTGTCCTTCCCTGCCAGGGGAATGTTAGCACAGGACTTTTTGGTACATCATTTGCTCTGACAAGCTCTCTGGTTGTCACTGGCAGCCTGTTCCCAAGTTTCCGTGTTATGTACCTTAAAGCACCCTGTACTGTATTTCACAGCACTTACCATAATGTGTAATATTGTATATAATTGTATAATTATTCTATTAATATCCAACTTTCCTACTGTTTAGAAGTTTTATGAGACCAGGGATCCTGTTTTGCTCGCCATTGTATCCACTTAACATAGTACCTGGCACATGTAACCAAAAAAAAAAAAAAATCAAACCCGTTGCCATCAAGTTGATTCCAACTCATGGTGACCCCATGTGTTACACAGTAGAACTGCTCTATAGGGTTTTCTTGACTGTAATCTTTACGGAAGCAGACCACCAGGCCTTTCTTTCATGGTGCCACTGGGTGGGTTTGAACCATCAACCTTCAGGTTAGTACACAAAGCACAAATCTTTTGTGCCACCTAGGGACTTGGCACATGTAGTAGGCCCTCAGAAAACATTTATTTGAATGAATGAATGCATGCCTCCATGTCATTGTTATTTCTGGATCTATGTTACTATATATCTAACATATGCTATAAATATTGTTTGAACTTAGGAATCATGTCAAAATACTTGTAAAATTCTATACTTTCTCTGAAACTCAGAACAAATGTTACTTTCACCAGGATTGAGGTCACTTTCATCTGTATAAATCTGTAAATTTTTTAGGCCTTTCAATATCAGATTTTCTCCCACTAACCACCTTGTGTTTCAGGGCTTAGTACTGCTCTTCTTTCTTTTTTCTTTTATCCCAAGGGAAAGAGACCTGTTCTGCAGTGATATACTCTACTTTTCCTTTGCTTTCTGACCACCCTGGAGAGCCTTCACCTGAACTGTCAGATGGCAATGGTCTAAATTGGGATCAGAGCTGATTCACATTCCTTTTCATCTTCAGATAACAAAGATTTCCTGCAAAGATCTTTCCCTACAGATCTGTAAGATGTGTGTACTGAGCCAGTCCTCAAGTTAATCATAAGAACTACATACAGATACTTTTTTAAAAAATATCCTTCCAAGCTTCCAGGCTTTTTGTTTGCCATCCAACTCCTTGTACTTCTATCTCTATGCCCAGCAAACTACTGCCTTCATAGAAAAGCTCTTATAGCATAAAGGGAAGCTGTGAATGCTTGGCCTCTGAGGGGAATGGAAGATGCTGAGGTCCCTAAACAGCTGAGCCACCTTGCTGAGATCAGGTGTAGGAGTTATTGCTTCAATTCTTCCTGGTTTCTTTGCCTACCTGTCCCGCAGTGTTGCTTCCTTCTCTCCCTCTCCCTCCTTATCTTTCACCTTAAACCTTGCCTTGGAAGCATTTTGAAATTTTTGCAGATCCCAGCACTTTTTAGGTTGTTAGTCATTAGCCAGCACTGCAAAGATCCTCCTTGACTAGGCTCAACCTTGGGACTTCCACTATTCAGAAGACCCAAGTGCACAGCATGTAAGCTAAAATGTTTCTTGGCTTTTTTGAGACTTATTCTTGTGCTTTCTCAGGGGTCTGATTCCACCTGATTTTACTTTGTCCCACTGCACTTCAAATCAAAATAGCAGGTACCAAGCCTGTTCCAGGTTCACAAGGCTTACCTTAAGCTGGTGTTCTGAGACAATGTGTGAGAAGCCTTAAGACAGACCATATATATATTTTGCTGAGGCAGAATTGCTTATTGGCTTCTTTGGCATCTTAAAGAAAGGCAAGGCTGACTTTAGACAAGAATCCCAGTAGATGCTACAGGTTCATCTTTTTAGACAGCATTACTAAGCCTAAGGCCAACCCTGGTGGTATAATTTACTTTGGCAAATGAGCTGTAAGGAAGAATCTGTGGTAGTGGAAATCAGGAGATCTCTATACCTCCAGCACTGTTATTCTGACCTTGGACAAGTCCCTTCACTTCTCTGGGCCTGAGCCTTAGTATCTCATCTCTTCAGTTGAGTTGAACAAGGTGACCAGTAAGGACTCATCCAGCTATTCAGTTGTAAGAATGACTTGAATCATAGAGCCAGCCTGGATCCAGTGCCTGTTGATTATGGCATCTTGAAAATGAACAGTTTCCCGGTGCAACCATGCAGATGGAAATTGAAAAATAACAATACCGATGTTGAAATTTCATTATACAGTTATTTTATCGATTTATTTTATCAAAAAAATGAAAGTAACTGCCTTGCTAGTTCCAAATTCAGAAAAACTCTACCTCTCATTTTCCAACTCCAATCCTAAACTGGCAAGTGGAAGAATGCACCAAACAAGCTGTTTTTGATGTAAGTGTATGCTAGCTGACATAAGCTGAGCCCTCAGTAACTGTTTAGCCATCCCTTCATCTCCCTGTTACACTCATATTCCCCAAGACTTACTTCATTCTCAAGATTCATTAGCCCCGCTCCTCTCTTCATGCACGCTAAACAACGAAGATCAAACTTATTCTCCTTAAATCTTCCCAGATTTCCTCCTCTTTCTTAAAATTTTTGTGTTTCTTATCCTCTCCTTTTCTTTTTCTCTGTTTACTCAGAAGATTCTTTGAGGCTTTATACCATAAATTATCTGCTCTTTCTCCATCTTGTCTTTCCCTTTCTGTTTAAACTCTTTCCTTCAGCAACACTTTCTTATGGTGAGAATATTTTCCTCCTCCTTGTTACCGCTTTAAACTACTGGCCTCTCCCCTTCTCTTCACTGCTTTCTATTGCTGTTTCTAATTTGTTACTACCTGCTCACTACCATATAACATCCTGCCATCAGATATGTTCTACCACCATTTGACTGGAACATTTCTCATACCAATGATAATCTATTTTCCAAAAGTTCTTCTCTCAGTTCTTGTAGATTTTTAGGAGCTCTGGTGGTGCAGTGGTTAAAGCACTCAGCTGCTAACTGAAAGGTCAGCAGTTTGAACCCACCAGTGCTGCACTGGAGAAAAGACCTGGTGATCTGCTTCCATAAAGATTATAGCCTTGGAAACCCTATGGGGCAGTTCTACTCTGTCCTTTAGGGTCGCTATGAGTCGGAATCTCGTTTCTGTTTCTAACTGGTTACTCGTTGTTTTGTACTGATCCCTCTTCCTCCTTGTATTCACTGGGTCAGAGATTCCTGATGGGATTCAGAATGCTAAAATATTACTAAACTCAGCCACTATCAGCTTCTAGGTGGGGCCTGTGGCAGCTGGTACCCTGCCCCCTTCCTCATTTAGCCCCAACATAAATTTTCATTTCCTGTGTGTGCCATGGTGGGGAAAGTTGAGGAAACACTGAGTTAGAAATGGCATTTGGCTGCTAGAAACAGAAAATGAAGTAATAATGATTTAATACAAAATAATTCTGGAGTTA